AATTTTAAATAGACCCATTGATCCCCAGTAAGAAATTTACTAAACTCACTAAATTTGATCCTGTCTAGATTACAGATATCCATACAAATTAATAGATGTGCATCAAAGTTGCATGTTGTATACCCTGTCCAATTTGGTGCATGACTGTTGAAAAAATAATTGGAAACTAAAATAAAAAATATATAATATGTCCATGATCAGTTTCTAAACGTCTGACTGCAACGATCTAACCTAAATAGTGGAGAAAATAAATTAAATTAATTAATAAAAAAATAAAAAAAAATAAAATAACGATCTATTTGGGTTTCCAAATATTTTTGGTCCTGCATTAAAAAAAAAACAAGATGTAGTACACTGTGATTCCCCGTCCAGGCGATAGGGGGCAGTAGATTTAATACTGCTTCCACACAAACATCACACTCTCAAAAAAAGTCGACGAAGTCCAGAGGCATGAAAGGTTATTCCTTAGGTGAGTGTGTGCTTACAAAAAAAAACAAAAAAAAAAAACAGTTTTTGTTTTAAACTATAGAAAGCTTTTAAATTGTTATATTCATGCTTAAAGCTCCTGGATTGTTTTAGTTGTAATTAACGTGCGCTCCGCGTGAAGACGCGTTAAGCTATCCTTGCCCACTTCCTGCTCAAAAAATGATTTACTTAACATCATGCAGCTGTGTTGAAAAAAAAACTGTTGGATTACTGGGGAAAACTACACAGGCTTTTTGCAGGTTAGAAATCGCAATATAACAATTTATTATCGGTTGTTGTTTTGACGGATTGCTAATATAGTCAACTTCCGGTCGCAATTCAAAATAACATCGATGAGCTTTTGGTATTTGCTTTTAACGTTAGTATTTTTCGGTGTATATAATTATTCAACATTTGGTTGAGATCTCTAAAGATTTTTTTGATAAATTATTTTGAAAATATTTGAAAAAAGTGACACAAACCCTGTTAGAAATATGCGAGGCTTTTATTTTGAAGGAATGGTATGCATAGCTCTTTATCCAGCATTTTTCTGTAGCGTTGATGTAAATTTACAAGCTTCATATATATATATATAATATATATATATATATATAATAATAATTAAATGAAACCTTTTCATGCCTGAGAGCATAACAAAATAATAATTAATGTGGAGATGCTCTGACCCAGTCATAAAGCAATCAATATTTGGTTCTGATAAACTCAACTCTTCCTGCTTTGCTCTTTCCAGCATCTAAAACAATAATCTTAATAACAAAAATATTTTTTTGCTGCCCAATATAATTGTATGAACGGATGAAATGATGGTGATAAAGACTTTTTTTAATGTGATTTCTTTTGTGCGTACACAGCAACGGCAGGAAAAAAAATCTATCAAAGGTAAACACAATAAAATCTTTTCTTTAAAACAATAACTAAACACAAAGCAACATTTAAAAAGTTAACAAAAAAAAAACGTATGAATAACAGCTAAAACATTCATGTTCAACTCGTGATATGGAACTAGTTTAAGAATATTGCTAAAGTTTGGTGGTCTGAAAGCTCAGAATATGGTCCTCTTCCAATAAAAACAAGCAATTACATAAACTGGATCCTCATATGGACAGAAAGCCAAAGGAGATATGGATATATCATTGAAAGAGGAATTTATAAAGATGAAAACTAAGTGTTTCAGCGCAAACCTTGGCTCCTACAAAACCTGTTAGTATGATTATAGAATTTCATACTGAGATCATTTCTGAAGTTGTGTTTTTTTCCAGTTACTGGTTGGAGCGCCAGCATGCAGAGTCTAGTGCTGCAGGTAATTGCTATGAAGCAGATTGACGGCTGAACCCTCGTCACCTGCTGGCAGCTGGTTATTGGCACAAGGAGGACTGAGTGGTGCCCCAGGACAATTCATACCCGGCAGCTGTGGGGTTGCTCGACTCTTTCCCCAGTCTAGGTGGTCAACGGACCGCCACCAAAACCTGGTCTTTGCACCAGCTGCGTTTTAAAAGCAAGAGGAAATCCCCTTCACAGCACGGCACAGGAGCAGGACGAGGCAGAGGAGGAAACTGACCCAGAAGAGAGTGATTATGAAGATGTAGATCCTAATTTACCAAGGACTATAAAGACATGGAGAAATATGTACCGTCTTTCCGCTATGACGTCGTCTTAAAGGCTGGTTTGGATTTGGCACGCAAGTAAGTCACCTCTTAATTTTGGATATTTCATAATTCTAACCTAAGTTTACAGAGCTGCTTCTGATCCATTTTCTTGTCAAACTAATTTAAAACATCTGATGATGTGAGCATTGACAAAAAAAGCCAGACACAACTAAACCCTAACCGCTCAACTGATACTAGTTCATCAGAAGGGCTTAGCGCAGTTCAGTTCTGGCTCAGTTCATAGATAACAAAGAACGCATGAGCAGACCATGTCATTTCCTATTTAGTCAGCTTCTAGTAGTGTGAAGTAATGCACATCAGTTGCTTGCCAACCACCACAAAATAGAAGAACTGTAAGCAACAATCGAAATGTTCTCAACACTACATTTTTAAAAATGGCTTCAAAAAAAACGACCTGGGATGACGCTGAGACTGAGGCTGTTACTGCAATTTGGGCAAGGACGCTATCCAGGAAATGTTGGAAAGAACAAAAAAAAATCACGCAAGTTTTTCTTACTAGAGAGCAGTAGTACCAGCCGACCGTCACTAAGGATGCGAGGAACTGTGCCACTGTGATGTGTAAATGGTCGTAAGGAACTGAGCACGGTACGGTTAACTGATCCAAGCTCGGTCCGAGCTCGGCACGAATCGTTTTCAGAGGGTAGCGTAAATGGCACTATTGTGTTTTCCAAGAAAATGCTGAAGTTAAGGTCATTTAAAGGTCCCATATTATGCAAAATTGGTTTTATTAAAAAAATTTTAACAGTCATATGTGTCCCAAAGCCTATGTATGAGCTTCACAACAGAAACATTTTTTTTAGCTAATGTTTGCTGAAAATGAACTGTTTTAAATCAAAACCCGTTTATGATGTCCTAAGTTTTTCAGAGTGGCCTGTAGCAGCCCATCGGTCAAGACACATCCTTCATCCAATGTGAGGGGTGTGGAAAGCCAAAACAGAATAAGGAGAATTTTGGTACAATTCTGTCTGCCTAATCTTGAGAGGAATCTTCCTGCACAAACAATCAATGCATTGGCCTCATTGTTAATATTTTTTTATTTTCAAATGAAGCATAATATACAATTGCCTAATTATTAGGAAACGTTGTGAGGTGGCTTTAAACAGGCCTGTCATGCTCTAATACCATCCGATATGATTTAAGCAGAGTGCTGGCTTTTTAACATAGGACCAGGCTGGTTTTGAGGCATTAAAAAATGTAATTTTTAATTTGATTTGAAACTTTACAAAAAAGAAAAAGCAACACTAACTTCTTCTCACTACAGCAAAATCGAGGATGCCTTCTACAGCAACAAGCTCAGACTAAATGGGCAGAAACTAATCAAGAAAAGTAAAACGGTTGGTGGCACCTCCTTATAAATGTTTTCTACAGATTTCTCTTGGCTTTAGTAAAAACTTAAACTTTTCTTGTTTATCCAGGTTAAAGTTGGGACACCTTGGACCTTGTGCTGTCAGAGAACAACGATGCGAAATACCGTTACGTTGATGAGAGTCATTCTCAGAAAGGTTTTAGGTGAATCTAATGATGGAGATAAGCACAAAGTTTTCCATAAGGAGGTGGAAAAGCCTTGAACTTGCAAAGGATGAAGCCTTCAAACCATGAATCTTGTCCTGAAAACCTTAGAGATCAGTGAAAGTTAGCTGAAACTTCAAGATGATGGCTCCACTAATCTCATGTATGCGAATTGTGAGAGAAAAGGTTTGGAAATGTACCTTATTTTATTCAATAAAAGGTGCATTTTGACGGTGTGAACCTCAGATTTGTTGTACTGTTTTCTTTATGCTTTTATGGAGGACAGGCACACACTGATCAGGGTTTTAGTAGATATTATTAAGGGCGTTGCTCATGTCCGTTGTGTGGGAGCTAATCTAGAGGGTGAAAATGTCAATAAGACATCCATCTTGGTTACAAGTTATAGAGCACAAACAATCCTGAGACTGAAAGTAGCTTTAAGTGATGCCATTTTTTTTGCAAAAGCCAAAAAAAAAAATGCTGTGGAATAATGTAAAATTATTTTTAAATGATCTAATAATTAATATGGACATAAATGTTATGTTTATAATTATAAAGCAAAAGGTACAAATTGGTAATGTAATGTATAGAATATAAATACATAGGAAATATTAGTCAAGAATAAAAAAAGGTACAAATATATATAAATATATAGATATACCTGAGATAATTGTGTGACAATATTCCCTCTATTCGGAGAAGAAAAAAAAAAACTATTCTCTTCATTGTTTGAAATTGTGTCAGCATTGCCTAAATGGTCTTCTTGAAATTTACTCATGTGATGTCATTTCCTGTTTGGCTTTTTTTGCAGCACATAGCGCTTATCGCTCTCCTGGCTGTTGCATACAAGCAAAGAAAAAGACAAATTAATCTTCTGGGAAGTAATGTGCTTTAATGTCCCCTTCTAAACCCTGATCAAGGTGCTACATCAAATTCTGTTACCTATAATTTATTCCGTAAAAATTCAAAAAATATCCACTGGACTTGGTTTTCAAGATTTGAAGACGTTTCGCCACCTCTCCAGGAAGCTTTCTCAATTCAAATGTCTGGATCCGCAGTGAGTTTGAGTCTTATATAGACAAAGCCTTGTATCGCTTGGAAACATGCAATGGTAACTGATGAATGGGTCGTTAGTTCCATCGTTAGCCTGTAATATCTGAACCTGTCTATGATTCTAGGGGTCGGTCGTTAAAGGGGGGATAGCCATTAAGGGGGGGATTGTCTCCTGTAATACCTGAAACCTGTCTATGATTGTTAAGGGTTGGTCGTATAATTTATTGACACAAGGGGGTGCTGTTGCTGTTCATCCTCCTCAGTCTACTATCTTAGACTTAGCTCCATAGACTCATACTAAAACCTTAAGAAGCCTATGGTTAAATACAGGTAGTGCCCCTCTGAGTCACAATATATGATGGGTAACAGAATGAGGTGAAACACTGGGACCAATTTACCATTCAGCACACCTTTATAGGACCCATCCTTTCCATCCTTTCCTTTATAGGACAAATCCCTCCTCTAAACAAGTGATCAGGGGAATCATCTTGGGATAAAGAAAAATCCACTTCTAAGTTCAGAAAAGAGCCCAGTTCTGATCTTGTTATATTTTACACCACCTATTTTGTGTACCATAATTTGTTCTGTAAATTAAAACCACCAAAGTGCATTTCATAAGTGTGTATTTATTAGAAACAGGTACCATGACCCATTGTCATGTTAAATCACCAGTATAACAGTCTTCTATAAGAAGGCTTAATATTCAGTCATATGTCTATCAATATTCAAACAAGGACAACAAATCAGCAGCTTTGGTTCTGTACACCACAGAGATGGGTTCTAAGATTATTAAGGAATAGATGCCAAATCAGCAATTTGATGATAGAACCATGAGGGCTCGTGCTTTAAGATTAAACTAGCAACTTTACTGCTAAACTGCTGTCAAGATAAATCCAACAAGAGCTGATAGGCGTATGACTGCTTGATTATATCGAAAAATGTAGAGCAGAACCTCTCAGGACTGAAGGCCAAAGTGGGTCCAACCAAATATCAGCCATAGACCAATTTTTTCTCTGATGCAGCATATTGAATTCCTCACATCGTTTTAAAACCCATTTTTGTAGTGAACAGAACAAAAGAGGCTTAATTAAAGATGTTCTTCTACAAATACTTATGGACCCACTTGTAAGTACTTTATTATTAAAACTGTGGCGGCACGATGCTACATTAGTAATTACTGTTAATAGAGGAACTGTGCGGCTCTTTGCTGTAGCTACTATTGTGGTTATAACGTGGTTTTAAGGCTACATTTATGAAACAAATGTATAAGACAAACTATGGCAGCTTGCAGAGCAGTTCAACACTTTAGAAAACTCCAACTAAAACATCTGCTGCTGCTGCAGGCAAAGGTTAAAACATAAGAATGTTGTATCAGCTTATATACTGAGCAGTCATTTCATGACAAACGTGTTGACTAAACTGTAAAGTACTGTGACTATGACACAGTGTTTGACCTCTTGGCCTTTTTAAGAATGTCACACTTCTTGCGGTTGGGCCGCCGGCAGCGTTCATCGATGCTCGGCACACATTCGTAGTGCCACACCTCCTCCATCTTATCCACAGGGTACACCGCCTCCACATAGTGACGGATCAGCCTTAGCCGGACCGGGTCCAGCTGCTTCTTGTTGCAGGCACCCGAGTGGTTGTACTGGAGCCGCAGGTTCTCAGGGGTGAACAGCTCCGGGAAGAGGCGCACCAGCAGGCGGGCGGCAAAGTTCCCAACAGAAAGGCTCTGCTGGACGATTTCCCGAACCTCGGAGTCTGATAGCAGGTAGGCGGAGGGTACGGGGAAGTCAGGTTGGGAAATGGTAAGTTGGTCGAGGGGAATCTTACAGAAGTCTTTGCTGCTTTTCTCTGGAGGTAAAGAAGGAAAGTCTGAATCGTCTCTTGTGTTGTCCAGAGTTTTGTGGTTTATGCGGCAGAAGAATTCCTGCTCCAGCTCTTGGTCAGTAACTTTGCGCTGCTGCAGGTAAGATCTCCTCTGCTCCGTGTCGGGCCTCCTGCACCTCTCATCAAGTTTCCCCACAAATTCCAGCATCCATACTCTGTCGTTCCTGGCTCGAGGGTAGACCAGCTGCACGTAATGCCGGATAAGATTCACGCGGATCGGGTCCAGCTGCTTTTTTCCAAGTGAACCGCTGTAGTTGTACTGCTTCCTGGCGTTCTCGTGAGTGAAAAGCTCCGGGAATATGAGAACCAGAAGCCGGGAGGCAAAGTTGCCAATAGACAAGCTACACTCATAGTTGCTCTTCAGCTGCTCCCTGGATAAGATATATTCCTGGGGAACGTTAAAGTCCGGTGGAGGAATCTTCAGATTTTCAAAATCCACAGGTGGCAGCAGCGACTTCTTATACTTGCGACAACGTCTTTCGTATTCCCTGGCCTCTGGAAACCTGATGGCATGGACATCTTCCTGAAAGCTGGCCAGGTCGTAGCCTTCGTAGGTGACGTTGTCGGATTCGCTCCCGTTGCTGTGCAGTCCTTCCAGTGTGTCTTCGATGTGCTGTATGCACAGCTGGAGCCAGCTGTCCTCAGGCACATCAGGAAAATTAGCTTCCATGTACTTCCTCAGGATTTCCATCTTGTCGGAGTCCAGAATGAGCTGGCCCACTTGACTGTAACTGCTGGAGACTTCGGGGATTTTGCCCTCTTCAAAAACCTCTGGGAAAAGGCGGTGCATGAGAAAAATCACTAGGTCTTCAACCGAGGAGAAATCATCCAGCTCCTCTGGAGCCTGATTATTTAACCCATGCTCGGACACGGGCAGACAACCCTGCTGGTTATCCAGGGACACATTCTCCTCTTGACCCTGTTCTTTAATGAAGCTATACGTCTGAGGATGGTCCACTTTAAGCCCATCCTCAGAGATCGGATCCTCCTCCTTGATGAGCTCAGTGTTCTCTGTGTCCCCCTTTGCCCAGAAGCGATTAAAAAAGTCATTAATCTGATGGAGACACTCCTCCTGCCAAACGCTGTCGTTTTTAACCGAGGGGTAGCAAACCTCCACATAGTTCCGGATCAGCTCCAGGTGCAGAGATTCCAGCGTCCTCTTGCCTGCCGTGCAATTGTGGGGGCAATCCTTGGCTTTGAACAGCTCCGGGAAAAGGTGGACGAGCAGCTGGCAGCTCAGCTCACCGGCGCTGGATGTGTGCGCCGTCAGCTGATTGAGTTCATCGTTCGTTAGGAGATACTCTGCAGGTGGGTGGAAGTCCGCCGTCCTCTCTCCAGGTTTGAGCTGCTTCTTTATCCGCATGACCTCCAGGGTCAGTGAGTCCACTTTACTGTGCAGTTGAGTCATGCTTGAGCTCAGAGTATTGAGGATAAAAAACATTTTCTCAATCAGTGGGTGAAGGCTGGACTCTACAGGTGAGGTCTGCTCCAAAGAGTCTTGCGGGGTGAAGATCTCAGCCTGGCCATTTAGTTCTGGACTCTGGAGCTTTGGTGAAAGGATGCTGTTGAAGCTTCCTTGGTTAGCCTGCTGATCCAGGCTTGGTGTGTTTCTCTTGTCTGAAATCCTGTGAGAGATGCTAAAAAGAGGCTTTCTGTAGGAGAGCCTGGATCTCTCTTGAATGCTCTGCACATTTTCTCCAGCCATGTCGAGGCAAAGAGGCTTGGGTTTAAGGCCATCATCCGTCAAACCCTGAATCACCTAGAGAGAAGGAACACCTTTCAAAATCTATGGCAACAAAACACATGGTTGAGTTTGATAAAGGAGATAAGCATTTCAAGATTCCCCCCCCCCCCACCCAACACAATGACACCAATACTCCTGGTGATCTGAGCACTCAAAGATATTATTGGCATGTTGAACTTGCGTCCCTTATATTAAAAAAATAATAGCCAAGAATGGCTGGGTGATGTGGCTTAAAAATAAAATATCTGATTTGTTCAAAAACAAAAAATACTTTTTATCAATTTGTTTTCATTGAAACAAAAGAGCTAGTCTATCGGTTTTGAGAACACATCTAGGAACTGAAATTACAGATTGATGTCACTGAACTACAGAAGCCTACGAGGTAAA